CCAGCAATCCAGCCCCAAACCCGACAGCCCCCTCCCACCCTATGGTCACCCGAGCCAAGGACGGTATCTTCTGTCCCAAACAAATCCTCAACCTTAACACCATTGCCCCTATCTCCCCCATACCCCCTACCTACCATAGTGCTCTCAAAGACCCTAACTGGTACAATGCTATGCTAGATGAGTATAATACCTTGATAGCTAATCATACATGGGATCTTGTACCCCCTTCCCCCGACCAAAATGTGATCTCCGGTAAATGGCTATTTCGCCACAAACTTGGCCCCACAGGTGAATTATCCAGGTACAAAGCTCGATGGGTTGTCCGTGGGTTCCATCAACGCCGCGGCATTGACTATGACGAGACCTTTAGCCCGGTTGTCAAACCGGCCACTATCCGCATCGTCCTAAGTCTTGTCGTGTCCCGAGGATGGCCGATCCACCAGTTCGACGTCAAAAATGCTTTTTTGCAGGGCTATCTCACAGATACTGTCTACACCGCTCAGCCTTCGGGATTCCAGGACCCAGCACGACCGAATTATGTTTGCAGATTAAATAAGGCACTTTATGGCCTCAAACAGGCACCCCGGTCTTGGTACCATCGATTCACCAGCTTTGTCCTCTCTCTTGGATTCAGTGGGTGCAAGAGCGACAGCTCCTTATTTGTCTACAGTCGCGGTCAGGACATGGCTCTACTTCTACTTTATGTTGATGATATTGTACTCACGGCTGTTAGACAAGGCGTGCAACTCTAGAGGGGGGGTGAATAGAGTTGTTGAGAATGTTTACCGATTTTCGCAGGATTAATAATATAAACGTAAGTGCAGCGGAAATAAAAAAGAGAGAAGGCAAAGAACACACCGATGTATACTGGTTCACCAGCTCGTGGCTAGTCCAGTTCCCCGAGAGACTCTCTCGAAGCTACCACTACTTCCGTTAAGCTTACGGGTGCTTAACAAACCGTTTACAACTCGAGAACTTGAATCCCACAAGCCTCGACACAACCGCTCGTAGATATGCCCTCTACAAGACTTCACAACCAAGACTTAAATCACATAAGCCTTGAACAACAAGAACAATCTTCTTCAACCTCTCAATAATAGCTCTCAAAAGAGTAGATAAGAGAAATGATTAAAGCTCTAATGGATGACAAAACACTCTCTTAAAAACAAATAGTTTTCTCTCAAAATAATATAAATTTGAGGAAAGATTGATGGAGGATTAAAACCTCAAGAATGGGGAGTATTGGAGTGTTTCTTGTTTTGGAAAAATGACCAAAGAAGAGTGTTTAAATAGAGTAAAAAGAAATAAATCCGTTGGGAGTAAGGAAGGCTGATTTTGACAGAATGGAGCGTTGGGGATCGATCCAGGGCTGAGGATCGATCATCTGGAGTAAGCCAACGAAAATAAATTTCTGTCAAAGCTTCGGGGGATCGATCCACACTCAAGGATCGATCCTACGATCAATTTTGGAAAAGCAAGATGATCGATCCATGCACTTGGATCGATCCAGTCTCGGAGAACTCTGCACAGGTGATCGATCCAAAGGGATGATCGATCCCCTAACGAACAAACCCCAAACATGAGGACCCAAAACATGTGTTCGAGTTGAGTGAATATTTTGGAGCTTAATGACTTGTTTGGGACAAGGAAATCATATCAAAAGGCTCCCCAAACTACCTACATAATTCAAATTCAAAATTTGAATTATGAAAAAAATATTTTTGGTGTAGAAAATGAGTTCCAAAAATATTTTGTGTGTTAAACGAAGTACACGAAAAATATTTGAATAAAATATTTTTGCTTACCAAAAATATTTTATATTATCAAAATAAATATTTGATAAATGTTTGGCACACCTTTTGTGACTGACTCAATAAAACTATGTTGAACAGTTAAAATGATTTTTCAACTGACTCCAAAAATAAATATAATTTTTATTTTAACTCTCATAAAAATAATTTTGGAGAGAAGATATTTTTGTCATCCTTACAAAAATTCCTATGACTCAAATAAATAAAAAGTCTTCGGAAATCTTCTACTCCTCTGAGTCCTCCGTTAGGCGCTCCAAACGCGTCTCGGACTTCACTAAAATCCTGTGCACCATCTTGAATACTTCAAGGAATGGCACTTCAAGTCTTCGTGTGTGTCATTGTAGCACTTTGATCTTGACTTGAATAAATTGTGTTTGTCAATTATCAAAACCTGTGAGTCAACACTTAACAACACAGAAAGGGTTGAACTCATGCATTCCAACAACGGCCTCCTCCCCTGCTCTTCTTCAGCAGCTTACAGATCGACTGAAAGAAGAGTTTGCCATGACAGACATGGGTGACCTTCACTTCTTCCTTGGGATCAATGTCCAGCGGACGGCTCACGGATTGTTCCTCACTCAGACTCAGTTCATCTACGACATCCTTGAACGTGCCGGCATGACATCATGCAAACCAGTCTCTACTCCCGTGGACACCCGTGGGAAGTTATCGGCCACCGTCGGTCCACCCGCTCTAGATCCCTCTCTATACCGCTCCATTGTGGGTGCATTGCAGTATCTCACTTTTACCCGTCCAGACATCACTTATGCTGTCCAGCAGCTTTGTCTTTTTCTCCATAATCCACGTGTGCCACATGTCACCGCCATGAAGCGCGTCCTGCGCTACCTACACGGCACACCCACTCATGGCATCACCATCTCACCCTCTCAGATGGATCACATGCGAGCATATTCAGACGCTGATTGGGCTGGTTGTCCAGACACACGCCGCTCCACATCTGGCTACTGCATTTTTCTGGGTGACAATCTCATTTCCTGGTCCTCCAAGCGCCAACTTACCACTTCTCGATCCAGTGCCGAAGCAGAATATCGAGCTGTTGCCAATGCAGTCGTTGAGGTCAGTTGGGTACGCAATCTACTTCTTGAGCTCCGGCAACCTCTGAATCGCTCCACACTAGTCTTCTGTGATAACATCAGTGCTGTCTACCTATCTGCCAACCCTGTCAAGCATCAGCGCACGAAGCACATTGAGGTTGATATTCACTTCGTCCGCGACAGAGTAGCCCTGGGTCAGATACGGGTTCTTCATGTCCCTTCTTCTCTACAGTACGCTGACATATTCACCAAGGGACTACCCTCCATGATTTTCTTAGAGTTTCGCGCTTGTTTGGGCGTACGGCAATCTTCATCAGCGCCGTTGGGAGCATGTTAAATATACTAAATATATATTTACTATATTAAATATTTATGTATATTGGTAGCTACCATATTTGTATAGGGTGTATTAATTATTATTTCCTATTATCATTAGGAAACCTTTGTATATATAGAACATGTAATCTCCCTAATCAATTATGAGAAAATATTCATTCTTCACTAAATGTAGTACCACTGGTCATAGTTCACTGGTCATTGTTCAAGTAAATGTCCACCAACACTAGAAATTATTCAAACTAAATGTCTACTATCTATGTGGGTAATGTTCCTGCCACTAGACATTATTCAAGTAATATTCAGGGAATAAAAAAAGTTTAAGTACTACATTGGAAATTGACATGTGTTTAGTACTATTTAGTACAAATTTCACTACTACTATTTTATAGGGGTGAGCATGGTATGGTATTTAGCTCGTACCAATACCGTACCAAATATTCCGGTTCGGTATGGGATTTTCCTCCGTACCGATCCCGAAATATTAGTTCGGTATGGTTCGGCATCGGTTTCTGTACAAATCGGGATGAATATACATACCTACATTACACGTTAAAATTTAACAATGCCCCTATATTTTTTAAAAATAAAAGTGAATTTAAATATAAAAAACATGAAAAATTAAAAAAATGAATATTTAAATGTAAGAGATGCGTATGAAAACTTAGTTTATGTTTCACAAACTAAAAAATGAACGACAACAAAGTATTATGTTCATTGATACGGTAACGTATCGGGATAAGGAAGGATTAGCACCTTCGAGCTATGGAGTTAGGGAAAAGGAAGAGAAGAGAAAATCACACGACACTTTGTTCGGCAGATTAGAAGAATGAGAGGGAAGAAGAAGAGACTAGGGTTTAGGGAAAATGATTTCTTATTGATTCAATAATAATTTTATGAGTAATGGCTACATATATTGATGGTAGATCTATAGAAACCTAAGCATAAAAGGTAACTAAATAAACCATAATACTACTAATCTAATATAATTATACTTCCTAATAATAATATAATTATCTAACCATAAATAATAAAACTACCTATAACAATAATGGTAAATCACTAAATATAAACCCATATCATTCATACACAAAAACTAAAACTCAAATAAAAGTATAATTTACACACAATAGAACTTGAACCACTTTTTTTTTAAAAATTATTAATTAGTGAAGGAATATAAAGATACTACTCCGGGGTATTATTTTTTTATAATATTTTAGTATATATGTTCGGTTCATGATTTTCGGTATAGGACGTCACCTCATATCGTTCCCTAATATCGTACCGACCATTCGCTTCGGTACGGTTTGGTTCCTTCTCGGTACTTTTTTGGTTGGGTATTTTTTGGTTCAGTATTCTCAGTTTTTTCGGGAAATTTCGGTATCGGTTCGGTACTTGCTCACCCTACTATTTTATACAGATTTAATAATACTTTGATTAATATAAAAAATTTAATACGTACCACTTTTTAAAAAATGTAAGAGATGTGTGTGACGTCAGTAAAAAGTTGTTTAAAAATATAAGTTAAAAATGATTAATAAGAAAAAAAGTAAATACATAACCTTACTTTAATAACATTATTTTTCATATTAAATTAAATGGTTTTGAAAATAGTTATTTTAGGAGGTCGATCAAGCCAGTTCGGTCAGGTTTAACTTAATTATTTTTAATAGTTCATAATTTTGGTATATGAACAAAACTTTTGTTCAAAACTTAGTATTTCCAAATTAGATATGGAGTAAAGAGCTAATTTTTGCCAAGTCTACACCGACCCCTCGTCATGATATACCTTTACAATTTTATTTCTCAATCATCGCGCTTTATATGGCGTTGGATAAGCTCAATTCTAGAAGAAAGCAAAAAAAAACAAGATAGAGAATGGTTGCGCGGAAATTGCTTTTATTACTCCCTCCGTCCAAAAATGTTCTTTACATTTGACTTTTCTGGGTCAAAGTTTGTAAACTTTGACTACGATTTGTGGAAAAAATATATTGTATTATAATGTAAATTTAATATCAATATATTCATAATGAAACGTAGTTTTCAAATATCAAATTTTTATAAAGTATATCTATGTATAAATATAGATATTAATGGTCAAAGCGCAATGTTGGAGACCGTGAAAAGTCAAATGGGAAGAACATTTTCGGACGGAGGAAGTACATGAAAGGAAAAAAAATAAAGAGAAAACCAAAGAGAGAAGTTGCGTTGACGAAAGAGTAAGAAATATTTGCACTACTAAATGTGTACCCCAAAAGGAACTGCATTAAATGTGTACTCGCACAAGCACAGATTTCCCTCCTTTATAAACACATCCATCCCATCTGCTCTTCATGTGGTGCTAATAACCAGTCTTAATTACATTCCTCAAAAAGGAACACAATGAGTCCTTTTCAGTTTCTTTCTGCCTTTTGTATAGCAGCCTTCTTTCTTGTTCCTGCATTCGGCTCTACTCTTCTATTTCAGGTACGCTATTAAAACAAGGATAAGGCATATATATTAAGCTTCCTCTTTTCAAAACATTATGGGTTTATATTTTTATTTTTTCATGGTTCTTCTTGGTTTAGGGGTTCAATTGGGAATCAAACAAGCAGCAAGGCGGATGGTATAACTCTTTTATCAATCGAGTCCCGGATTTGGCTAATGCTGGAATAACTCATGTTTGGCTCCCGCCACCCTCCCACTCCGTTTCTACCCAAGGTAGGTGCATGTGATAGAATTTAGGATGAGTATGGACAAATAGATTAGGTAATAAGACACCTAAGCTGAATCATATTAAAAGATTAAATCCAATCGATTAGTTAGTTTAGCTCAATAGCTTATATACCGATTATTTTGCTCTTGAATTTTCGATGTTGGATGACACTCTAACAGAAATAGTTTAAGGAATAAGAAAACAATGTTTTTGAGAAAAGAGAGCTAGAAATCTTATTTCTTTTCTTTTTGTTTGGATTCCAAGAACTAAACATATGATTAATTGTTTTGTTTAAAATGGATTTTGTGCATCAGGGTATATGCCGGGAAGGTTATACGATCTGGATGCATCCAAGTATGGAAATAAACAGCAGCTGCAAGCACTGGTAAAGGCCCTTCGCGACCACAACATCAAAGCGGTGGCGGACATCGTGATCAACCACAGATGCGCCGACTACAAAGACGACCGGGGAATCTATTGCATATTCGAAGGCGGCACCGCCGACGGCCGCCTCGACTGGGGCCCGTCCCTCATCTGCAAGGACGACACCCAGTACTCGGACGGCAACGGCAACCCCGACACCGGCATGGACTTCGCGGCGGCGCCGGACATCGACCATGTCAACGAGAGGGTGCAGAGGGAGCTCTCCGAGTGGATGAACTGGCTCAAGTCGGAGATTGGGTTCGACGGGTGGAGGTTCGATTTCGTTAGGGGATACGCCGGCTGGATCACCAAGATCTACATGGAGAACACGAAGCCGGAATTCGCCGTCGGCGAGTTCTGGAACTCTATGGCATACGGGTCGGACGGGAAGCTGGAGTACAACCAAGACAATCACCGGAACGAGCTGTCGCGGTGGGTGAGTGACGCCGGCGGATCTGTGACGGCCTTTGACTTCACCACCAAAGGAATTCTTCAGGCTGCCGTGGAAGGAGAGCTGTGGAGGCTGAAGGATTCAAACGGAAAGCCGCCCGGATTGATCGGTGTTCTGCCGGGAAATGCGGTCACTTTTGTGGATAACCATGACACCGGATCTACTCAGCACCTCTGGCCTTTCCCCGGGGACAAAGTCATGCAGGGATATGCTTACATCCTCACCCACCCTGGCGTTCCATCTGTGGTAAGCCAAAAAAACGTTTTCCTCATGTCTTTACTCTTTTTTCTCTTTCATCTCCCAATTTATTTATGTTTAGTATATTTTAAAATTAATCAGTAACGTACCATTATAAAAATTAGATCAGATTACTTAAGTCGTGATGGGTCGTCCTCTGCTCAAGTGATGATCGAAAGTTAAGGTTTATAACATTTATATTCATGTTTAATTGGCAGTTTTATGATCACTTCTTCGACTGGGGATTGAAGGATCAGATTTCGAAGCTGAGTTCGGTGAGGAATAGGAATGGGATAACGGAGAAGAGCAGCGTGGAGATTTTGGCAGCGGAGGGTGACCTTTACGTGGGAAAGGTTGACGAGAAAGTGATAGTGAAGATAGGGGGAAGGCTTGATCTTGGCAACTTAATCCCGTCTAATTTCAAAGTCGTTGCTTCCGGACAGGACTATGCCGTGTGGGAGAAAAATTAAGTGCTGCATACTAGTTGGGTGTCCCCTCTCGTGTGAATGAATGAATGCATGAATAATTTCACCGGCCTAATTATCTTGTCTACACCATTTTATTATATATCTAGCTTGTAGTAATTTCTTTGAGAATAAATACACCATTTTAGAATGTATGATCGGTAATAATAGTTTAGTTAAATCCACCCCACATTTGGCTGTATGCATTTCATATATGAGATCGGTATAAGTTTATCCTTAAGTTATGTTCACATGTCTAGCCTTCTTTCTTTTATCCGAGTATATGTTAGTGATAAAAATAATACTAATCATTTTAATCATTTATTTATAATTAAATAATATACATATTATATATTAATTAGATAAAAGATTTTTTGAAAACATGTTATATATTAAATCTAATAAAATCATTTTTGCATCAATATCTAATCATATTTTTATTTAATTTGGAGTCAAAATTTCGATTTTGACCGGAAAAAGTAAAAAATGGAGAAATATGAGTATGACATAAAACTTTATGGTAACACTAAAATATTTGTAGTTCATAAGTCTAACTACGACTATGTTTAAGGGGCCTTTTTTTCAATTTCTGTGCGCTTAAACATGTATAGAAATATTCAAATCAAGGTTAGCTTTGGGAGTTTAATATGTTCTGTTGCAAGTTATAGTTCAACTTTTATGTTCACCAGATTTATATGCCACTTTCTTATAACTGTGAAGGTTTTGCACTTTTATGCTCTAAAGAAGGGAGTGTGTGGCTGGCAGTTAATCATTTTGCTGTCTTTAGTTTGACATATGAAAAGCCAGTAACATGTGGAAAGTCAAAGTAGTTGCAAAGGTTCATCTGCTAGATTTTACTCACTGGATCTAATTGTGCAGTTGTTCCTATTTGATGTATGATCACTAAAGTGGGTCTTTCTAGGAACATATTCTGTAACTTTTAAAAATTTCTTCAATTATTATTTCACACGACAAGAATGTGAAAATGTTTCAGTTTATGTTCCAAAGAGATCATGTGTTTGTTAGATTTCTACTTTTCAAAGAACTAAATCATGGTCTTACTTTTGGATTATCCTTTTAGTGCTATTTTTTAAAGAAATGAGAAGGAACTAAATCATGGTCTTACTTGGCTTTCAATCCTGCGATCATTAAAGCTTTGTGTGTCTATTGAGGTTTTCACTTGAATAAAAAAGTATCAACACAATTTGGGACTTCATATTGCTGCTAAGATCTCAGCATATATATCAGGTAGCTGATCATTAAAGCTTTGTGTGTCTATTGAGGTTTTCACTTGAATAAAAAAGTATCAACACAATTTGGGACTTCATATTGCTGCTAAGATCTCAGCATATATATCAGGTAGCTGATGATTTGAACGTTCTGCAGCCGTTGAGGTTAGCCAAAACAGTGATTTTGAACAGATCTTTCAATTCCATGTACCCTTCCCTGGAGGGATTCAAAGAGCTTTGTCCACCAAATGGGGAAACAAGGTAGTGATCTATACGATCTCTTTACGAGGTTCAAGTCAGTGGCCAGAATATCATTATAATTACCGTCTAAAAAATGTTTCTACTTTTATCTTCTTAGCAATGCGTGTTCTTGGGGGAGGGGTGGGAGTGAAGTTCTTTGATTTTGTATGTATTTTTAGTTATGATTTACACTAAAATTTTTAATAAATGGATAATATGCTACAAGAAATTGATTACTTTTTCTGTGTTGATGCTATCAAGGAATAGAGGATGCTCAAGCAATTTTACCGCATGGCTGGAATAATCCATATCTTCATTAATGATAATGATTATAGCCACTTTGGTAATTAAGCTTCTTCAGTATCTTTGTTTTTAAGCCTAATATTAATATTTTTTAGATGGAATTGTTTGTTGATGGTTTAATTTTTATAGAATGAAGCTTCTACCATGAAGAGGCTTCAACCAAAAGTTGCAATCACAGTGTTTCGATTGGAGTGATAGATCAATCAAAACTGCTGCTCCAATGCTCCATCTAACGCTGCTCCACCCTTTCTCTTTTAAGTTTTATGCTCGGTAAGCTCTTAATAATTCATTCAGTGTCTTCATAGCATTTCATCATGTCCATGTTTTTTGTTCTACTACCCCTTTATTCTTAAGTGTTTTTTATTTTTTTTTGTTCTTACAAGTAAAAGGGAAAATCTACCATTCAGGTTCACAATGACATGAAAGCATGAAATGAAATTTTATGAGTATACTTTCTAACACAACGTCAATCCCAAGTTACATGTCAGGTAAACCTTTAACACTAATTTCCAAAGCACTATTTATTAGAATAGCCATTGAAGGTACTCCACTAGCACTTGAATTGCAACTTCTATTGTGTTTTAATTTTCCTTATTTTTTTTAGTTTTTAGAGGTAAAAGGCTAATGGTGAAGCCCATTTTGATTATCTGATGATGATTTGCTTTTGAACAAGTACTACTCCAGCGTTGAAGTTATTTTAGAAACCAAATTTTTTTGATCAAAGTTTTTTCAAGCAAAAAATGATGAATCCACCACTCATAGGCACATGGATCACTCTTAAAAAAATACTATATATTTAATCATATATCCAAATGTGATGTTAATGTAGAGTATAAACTGTCAATTGTTGTTGATGCATGTCCGGGAAGCACAGGTGCACCTCAATTCTTCTGTCCTTTTAATGAGGTTGAATATTCTTAAATTTGTCCTTATCCTTGCAACAGTCACGCACCCACGTCGGTCACCACACCTGTATTTGTGCTTCATTGCTCCATGTCATAGGCTTTCTTGGGTGATTGCTCCCTGATTATCGTTTGGATCAATATCACTTAAGGATTGTCTCTTTTTCACTACAAATACTTTACTGGCTTACTCCATGACATTTTTTAGGTTGACTTTTTTTTGTGTCATCTTATTGTTTTTTGTTTTGTACTCCCTCCGTCCGGAAATATTGCAACCTAAAGGACAGAAGAATTGAGTTGCACCTGTGCTTCCTGACATGCATCAACAACATACATTAACATCACATACGGATTAATGATTAAATATAGTATTTTTTTAAGAGTGGTCCATGTGCCTATGAGTGGGGGATTCATCATTTTTTGTTTTGCTGAAAAACTTTGATAAAAAAATTTGGTTTCTAAAATAACTTCAACGCTGGAGTAGTACTTGTTCAAAAGCAAATCATCATCAGATATTCAAAATGGGCTTCACCATTAGCCTTTTACCTCTAAAAACTAAAAAAAATAAGGAAAATTAAAACACAATAGAAGCTGCAATTCAAGTGCTAGTGGAGTACCTTCAATGGCTATTCTAATAAATAGTGCTTTGGAAATTAGTGTTAAAGGTTTACCTGACATGTAACTTGGGATTGACGTTGTGTTAGAAAGTATACTCATCAAATTTCATTTCATGCTTTCATATCATTGTGAACCTGAATGGTAGATTTTCTCTTTTACTTGTAAGAACAAAAAAAATAAAGAACACTTACGAATAAAGGGGTAGTAGAACAAAAAACATGGACATAATAAAATGCTATGAAGACACTAAATGAATTATTAAGAACTTACCGAGCATAAAACTTAAAAGAGAAAGGGTGGAGCAGCGTTGGATGGAGCATTGGAGCAGCAGTTTTGATTGATCTATCACTCCAATCGAAACACTTTGATTGCAACTTTTGGTTGAAGCCTCTTCATGATAGAAGTTTCATGCTATAAGAATTAAACCATCAACAAACAATTTCATCTAAAAATATTACTCCATCCGTCCGGAAATGCTCTTCCCGTGTTGACTTGGCACGCTTATTAAGGAATAGTAAAAAAAATGCAAAATTTTCAAAAATGCACATACTATAAACTTTTAAATCTCTTTTTATTATTAAAAAAGTAGATTTGTGATAAAATAGAAGGGTATTATTGATATTTAGCCTTAAAAAGCATACTAAAAAAGGAAATGAGAAGATTATTTCCGGACGGACCAAAAAAGAAAATGGGAAGAATATTTCCAGACGGAGGGAGTAATATTAGGCTTAAAAACAAAGATATTGAAGAAACTTAATTACCAAAGTGGCTATAATCATTATCATTAATGAAGATATGGATTATTCCAGCCATGCGGTAAAATTGCTTGAGCATCCTCCATTCCTTGATAGCATCAACACAGAAAAAGTAAGATCAATTTCTTGTAGCATATTATCCATTTATTAAAAATTTTAGTGTAAATCATAACTAAAAATACATACAAAATCAAAGAACTTCACTCCCACCCTCCCCCAAGAACACGCATTGCTAAGAAGATAAAAGTAGAAACATTTTTGAGACGGTAATTATAATGATATTCTGGCCACTGACTTGAACCTCGTAAAGAGATCGTATAGATCACTACCTTGTTTCCCCATTTGGTGGCCAAAGCTCTTTGAATCCCTCCAGAGAAGGGTACATGGAATTGAAAATCTGTTCAAAATCACTGTTTTGGCTAACCTCAACGGCTGCAGAACGTTCAAATCATCAGCTACCTGATATATACGCTGAGATCTTACCAGCAATATGAAGTCCCAAATTGTGTTGATACTTTTTTATTCAAATTAAATCTTTACTTTGAGATGTAATAAAAGAGAAAATGATAAATACTTCATTGAAAACAACATCAGGCTTTCTTTTTTAAAAGATTAATAAATTTTATACTTTTTTTAGATATATAACTAATTATGTATGAAACATATTTTAAAAATATATTTTAAAATGGTGTAACATATAAACTCCAAATGAATACAATCATCGAATAAAATATATTAAGATTTTTAATCTATATCCTCCCTTCGTCTCAAAAATATTATAATAGTTAGACTTTTTGGCAAAAAATATGTAACACTTTGATTATAAATTAAATACAGTTCAAAAAATTAATTGTCATAAAAACTTGATATATGAAAATAATATTTTAAGTGGATACATTTTTTCTAAATTTACATGATAATTAAATATAATATACTTTCTGTACACTTTGTGATCAAAGTATAAAGCAACTTGACCAAAAATTTCAAATTGTTATCAAATGAAATAATAATGAAATTTGATTCAATTATTAAAAAGAATAAAAAAACCAAATAAACCAATTAAGTAATGATAAATCATTGAAATATACGTGTGTGGTATATGACCTATATGCCCCGTGTTATCCTACAACAAAAACAAATCTAGTTTATTGAATTTAATGTATGTTGGAATATTATATAAAAAATTTAATAATGTTGCAAACAAATATTTTGAAGTAAATTATCAAGTTAATAAATATATAGTTAATAAAATATAGTTATTTGTTAGAAATAACAAAATAAAATAAATGATGGATTCTTTTCAAAAATATATAAAATGTTATTTTTTGAATTAATAAAGTTATAATACTTTAATATTCTTTGATCGTATAATCATATAATTATGCATATTTAAAAAACTTGTAGTAGGTACTAAGAGGACAAAATCAAATATCACATGAGAGAGCTTAACAAACACAAAAGTACTCATACCAAGTTCAACATTACCGAAGGGCAAAATTTGGACCACCATGCTTAAAAGAATCAGCAGCAGTGCATTTACCTATTCCAAATCCCACAAAATATAAATAAGTATTAAAAGAATGAATATGTGACATTAAGCCACATGGAGGTCGTTTAGTGGAATGTGAATCCCGTGTGGCCAATTTCAACCCGTCCCTTCACAAAAGTAGAGAAACAAGGCACCTTGGCTCAAATACAGGAATACAGACAAAATAAACAGAATATCATAAACAAAGGCACACAGACATGAACCACATATACGTACACTAACAAAATGTTTATTCTTAATCCAAAACAGGTTGTCCGGGTTTGAATAGTACTGAAATATGTTGGTTTCAATAAGAAAATTAAAATAGATGTTGTTTCCTAGACATACCTGAAGAAGCAATTCATATTTAGAGTTAAATAAGAAAAGACTGAAGGCTCTGTGAAGCACATTCTTAGAGTAGCAGCATACCCCAGAAACAGGTACATATCATTGGTTTGATTTACATAAGCTGTTTTTCCATTGCATTGCCACAAAAAAGGAAAAAAAATTGCAGCAGTTACTAAGAGAACAAAATCAAATATCACATGAGAGAAGCTTAATAAACAGAAAAGTACTACCAAGTTCAACATTGCCGAAGGCCAAAATTTGGACCACCGGAATAGCCGTCGCTGCTGACCACCACCACCACAAACTCGAATCAGAGTCCTTAGATCTGACAGAGAGCCATCACAGCTTAAACCCTCAGATCAAGAATATCCTTCAATGCTTATACCGTTGTTCCAAGATGAAACCCAAAATCATTGGCACTGCACTAAATACCCCAATGTGAAAAAGAAACTGTGCACTGAGAGCATCTCCAAGGGGAGAGCTATTTTTTTGTCTTCTATTTGCCTTTTTAGCATTCCAACAGTGCTTTAGCAATACATTTTTTTACCTTCACTCCAACCATATCATCTATATTTTAGTTTATATAATAAATTATTATTTTTAAACTACCCCATTAATTGAAAATTAGCAATATCCTTTGAAAAAACAATATCATTTTTTAGAGATAGATCTACGGATTGATCGAAAAGTAAAACATATATCTATTCAAGAACATAATTGTTCATAAGAAAAATCAATGATTCTCGGAGATCGATTTTTTTTCTTTTGGAACTGAGTCTGATGAATAAAAATATCGATGACACTTTGTAGACTAAAATCAGAATCTCAAACTTTTTTCAAACTCAAATTCAATGTATTGGAGTTGGAAACAAAGATTGGATAAATGACAAGAAGAGAAATAGAGTAATAAATAGTCAATAATTGAAAGAAAACCAAAGAATGAGATCCATGGTCTATGGATAAGCAAGAACAAAGGTTGAAGACGAGAGGGAAGGAGGCAAGGATCGGATGTGAAAAGAGAAGTAAAAAAAATAGAAGATAGCATAGTACCTTTCAAATATAGAAGGTGGTGGAGTAGAAATAGAATGGCTTTTATTTTATGGCTTATGAGTTGGAGTCCTATTTTATGAGCAGTAAAAGCTATAACATTTATTTTTTACACTTTAGTCAATTTTAGAGGATGCATTGGAGTTGCTCTGAGAGCAGCATTTAGTGCAGCATTATCAAATATATCTGCTCTTTCTTGAATCGTTTCACCAACCCCAGATTACGCCTGAGACAAGAAATTCAGGTGCATCCATCAGGAATATAGCTTGTAAAATTTAACAATTACAGTACATCAGATGGGATTCGTCCATTAAGGCATCCATGGCAGACCGCCTTACTGCCTAAGCGTCGATTAGGCGACGCCTTAATAACCATGACTTAGTGATAAAAAAATGTAGTTATGTATCAGAACATACCAAATAGGCTCTCCCATAGAGAAAACTGTAGGCACTGAACACTGTTAACTACATAAACAAATGATAGCAAGCCATTAGATACATGAGGCAAATAGCCATTTACATGTTCAAGTATATAGACGACAAAAACAAGCAATAGCAATACTTGTAAATGAAATCTAATAAAAGTAAGGATGCGGCAATTTGCACCCCTAGTTTAATAGATACACCTAATTTTGAAGAAAAAAAAATCAATCCAGCAAAATTGATTTAGCACATTTAAGAGTGTCAGAAAACACTAGTGTTTGCTGAAGAAGTACTGCACGACCAACACTCTGCTAACAGCCTCACACAATGATGAGTGTTCTGGTAATCACTGAAGTTGGAAGTCCATGAGTGTCCAAAGAACACTCGCCAAACAGATGCTAAGCTAGTGTTGGTCAAGTGCCTTCGTTGTGTTCTGCGAGTTTGAGCAGGAGTTGGGTGTATTTAGAAAGTAATGGGGTGTATTTAGCCACTCCCTACATGTATTCCATTGGAAAGAACTGTGTACCATGGTACAAAAGTAGTATCCCACAGTTGTGAAGTAGAACGATAGCATTCTGAAGAAATCAAAAAGCTGACCAAGCCTGTAGACATCTCTACTAAGGACTTGTTCCCCGTTACCACCTGCAACTTTCCCCTCAAACAAAGCAATCTGATTGAGTCCAACATCTCATCCCTTGCCAACCTATACAACATCATTAGTGATATCATTAGCTGATAAGTATCATGAAATACGACCTCCACATACCAGCGAGAGAGAATCTAGTAACCTGGAGGTATTCGTGGTGAGTAACATTGCCCTGGCACAAAGTTGAATTGAATCCTGCATTTTAGTTGATATAAAGAAAAGGCATTACAACCTGTCGTTACATTACAAACCTACGCGCATAAGCTGATTTGATCCACTATGAACTTGTGTCGAATCCACTTCATGCTTATAATACATTGCCACAATTGTTGAGGATTATTATAGGTACATGGATGTTATGAGTCTAGGGTTTCATTAATTATAACACCCTCTGTCCAGAAATTTCCCTCACATTCCTTTTTGGACCATTTTAAAGTTTTCTTTCCATTTCCTTATTGGGCAAATCATTCTGTAAAATACCTTATTTACCCTTTTTCATTCTTTTCCCTCATTACTCCACTCTAACTCTAGATTTATCCGCCGACAGCCATCACATTTTCATTCTTTCTTCATTCTTCCCTGTCGATTCTTCTTCTTCCATCAGATTTGTACATGCCATCTACTTTTTCCATTCTTCTTTTTCTCCCTTCATTTTTTATCTCTTTCTTTCAACTTAATAGTTTTAGAAGATCTACTCCATGGCAAAATATACTCCAACGTATGGGTTCCGGATTAGACAGGCCGCATCATCTCTAAGCTAGGAATTCCTCCAAGCGCCACAAGGAATTCCATGTGCCGTCGTAGTAGCAAGAGCAGAGGCCAGAGGTTGAGGAAGGCAACTCAAGCTGTAAATTTCCAGCTTGTATGTCGTCTGATAACTTAGGTAGTAGCATCTTGTATGTCATGGAAAGGACAAATCTAAAGTTGAAAGAATGGTTATCTTTTCTCACCATGTAAATATGTAATAGATTATGCCTAGGTGCATCATTCTTCATAAAATCGGTAGATTAATTGGAAGAGATATCCAGGGTTTTAAGTCTCTCTGAGACATACGAAATGGTTTTTTTGGTAGCAAACATTGTCTATGTAACTTGTAAACTGTAACTTATATGCTCCAATTTGACTAGGAATGTTTTAAATAAACTCAACAAATGTTAACTATAGGCCATGCATATAAATATAGAACATTAAGTAAGGATTAACACGCAGTTAATATAGTATATTTCCCAAACTCTACACCCATAAGATTCAAATTAAACACAATAACATTAAATTATGAAACAAAATCCCCTTAAATGTGAGGTAAATTTACCAGAAAAAATATCTTCACTCATATTTATGACGCGAGATGCTTTGCTGATACCACCCCTAGTTATATGGAATAGTCTATCAAAGACATCTGGATGACCATAATGCATACGAACCCTGATGATCATTTCAAATACAAGTTAGACAGACTTTTCTTTCATAGTTTCATGATTACTCTGTAAATGCCATGGAACAACAGATATTCACTATTAAAGTGAACTCACTTCAAAGGATTTGCTAGAACACGTTGGCCAAGAGTCACAAAGCTAGATTCCTGATTAGGCATGAAGGATGCTAAAGAAGAAACACTGAGAAGATGCACAAGTTTAAAGAGTCAGAAGCCTAAATAAATGAACTCTGTAAGGGACAAAATACCTCTAATACCATACCTTCCAGTAAACACATGCTCCCTAACACCAAGAATAGTAGGGGGGCGAACTCAATGGGCACAGTAAAAGTCTTCAAGAAGATTTCGGACCTTCAAAGCCTCCTCAAAGTAATTATCCTGTCCACATACAAAGAGAAATAAATAAAAAAAATATATACTATCAATTTGCCCTGTAAATATCATTAAGGCAATATCAATATATAAATTATTAGTCACCTGATTCATATCAATGGTCTGTATTGCATTTCCACGTGTAAATATAATAGCATGATTTTGATTTTCAGGTTTCCCTTCACCAAGCTTTGGATTTCCAGGCAATTTCACAAAATATATTTCCTGTAATGATTCTAACAGCAATTAGAACATAAAATATGGCTGAAATGGCTACATTTGGCAAATTATTCCGATATTGTGAAATCTTTCTGTTTATGGATTTTTCCTTGTTCCATTCCTCCAGATAACGTTGCCACGTAGGGGCTTTGATTTCAGAAAGCCATGGTTGTCACGTCGGCAAGTCGCGTTGAGTAGATATATAGTAAATAAGTATAATACCCGTATTAACCCAAAATATAGTTGCTAAGCTAATAGAATAAACATCAATGGGTGTTGAAACAAAACTTAGTTGCAGAACACATACGCAAACATTGAAGAAGAATATCCTTCTTTGCCCATACCCAAAAGGAGGGGAGAGCAATCTGTGACTAACTTCTCATAAATAGAAATTTGATGTCCACCATTCATAACTTTATTAATGATTGTCTAAGTATAAAAAGGCAAAGCCTTACAAGAAAGTGAAGAAACCTACCATAATAATACAAGAAAACATGAATCCAAATATAGGGATATTTACTAAAATAGAATAAAACTACTAATAGGAGACTAATAATAATAATAATAATAATAATAATAATAATATAATAATAATAATAATAATAATAATAATAATAATCTACTCAAAATAATAACAACAACATCATCATTACCAACACCAATAGTAACAAGAATGATATTAATGACTGTATCATTACACCCCTCCGAACATCAAGCTTGTCCTCAAGCTGTGAAGAGAGAGATACGCTGCACCAGCACTTTCCACGAACAAACGACATCAAAATATAAGCACTCGTTTAGTAAAGTACAACACAGGAAAAAACCAACTGATGATATAACCCTGAGAATTACCGTGACACTCTAAGTGATGAACTTTGCATAGCTAGATGTGACTTGCCTGTTGCGAAATAGACAATTACTACACCATTATTCCTCAACTGGCATGTGCATAACCAACCATGAATTCTTGTCTTGCCAAATAAAGTGGATTAATTGACAGTGGTCTTTTGCGACTCAGTTACAACTTCAGTAATAGCTTCTGCATGTTTATGTGGTAAATAGCTTTCATGGCGCATGGCGATGGCCATGACGCATATATGGCATCGCCACAGGACACAAGTCACACAACCAATTTAATAAATTCATAAATGTATGAGACATAAAATGAATAAAAAAAATAATAGAGTACTTGATCTAAATCGTCATGTTGAAAATAAAAGCACGACAAAAAAATCATTCCAAAACACCTGAAGGTGCTAGTATTAAAATAACTTAAGCAAAACATAAAACTTAATTGAAAATAAAGTTGATAAAAACTTTGATCTAGCAATTTAAAATATGAATATCTTATCATCACTCCCAAGAGGTCCAGGAAGTCAGAGGTTGCAGAGAGAGGCATGTAGCAGAGTTGCAATGATCCCATATCAGAGTCGCGCAACATGCAACATTCTTCCCTTCTAAAGGCGCGACTAGCAAAGAAGAAGAAAAGTTGTGAATTGTGATGGCAACGTTCTGTGTGAAGAAGATGAACGACTGGAGAGAGTGAGAGATGATTGACTGATTGAGTATCATCAATCTCAATAAAGGGTTTTCTTGGATTGGGCCCAAATATATTGGATAAAAAAACTTTGGGCAAAAAGAAAAAGTGGTGCACGAATGGGGATGGCGCCAAAATGGCATTGCTATGGGAACACTGGTTGCCACAACCAGATTTGTGGTGATTATGAGCCCAATGGCCAATGGCGCATATATGGTGCGTGCCATTTGCGCCATCGATAAGCCTGGCAGTAACGACAGTAGAAGAGTAGGACTGTGGATAAAGCTTTTGACCCAAGGGTGGTGATGGTGGAAGAGGCTGTGGATATTGCAATTGATATTGATATTCATGTTGCGACATCTTTCAATATGTTGAACTGATCTCTTGGCAAATTCACAGTATAAACCATACTCATCAACAGAACAATAATTTAGATACAAAGATGCACAAAGTCTGAAACTCTATTTTTCTGACTTTTTTTACAGCTTCTTTGTATGCTTTTTCTAGTTTCAAAAAAATACATTAGAAAAATAAAAAATTAAAATACGATGCAAGAATTTTCTAGCTAGAACCCCCCACCATCTCACGCTACAAAAACATCAAACACAAAATTATCCAACCACTTTTCTATTGTTGATATTTTCTAGTTGAAAAAAAAACCAAAGGAGCAAGAGGGATAAAAAGGGTAGGAATGAAAATGGTTCTAATACCAAATTTTTACAAATGTATTAGCAAACGTGGAAGAAGAATATCTTTCCCTGTTTGTGACTAGGAGGGGAGAGCACGTGGTGACTAAAATTTCATTATTAGATATTTGACTTCAACCATTCATCATTTCATTAATCATTGTGTGAGTATAAATGGGAAACACCTTAAAAGACACCTATCATAATCATACTAGGAAACATGAATCATTATTTAGGGATATTGACTAAAATAGAATAAGACTAGTAAATCCATCGCCTTTAACACTCCCACTTCAAGGCAGACCCCCTCAAACGCCTTAGAAAACCATGAGAACGAGTTCAAGATTCTGTTTTTTAGTATCAGGTGACAAGTATTGTATCAAACATAGAGTATATAAATTGCTCCAACTTATGGGCAAGCTTAAAGAGAGTAAAATTTTGAAATCTAGTTTAGAAACCCTGGGCTTTATAAGCTTAGGCCCATTATATTGTTCTTTATATATGCAGTGTACTAGTAATAGGAGAGTAACAAGCATCCCTGTTGTATGAGAATTGAAACTACGCCATATGTACATGCACAACAAAACAAATGATCTGCAATGGATGGAACTTCAAATACAAACCAGTATTCCCAACAGTGCAGTAACTTTCTGAATCCTTAGTGGTAGCTTATTCAATTCAATATCAACAAGTATGCTCATATTAGCTATGCTTCTCTGAATCTCGTCATATATTCTCTCAACCCTGCAATGGCACAAGAAGAGAGATGAATCTTTCTGACCAAATAACTTGCAAGCCAGAAATATTTTCCTCAAGGCATCAACTTACCACTTCTTACCCTCAGTATCCAACACAGATGTGAGGACTAACTTGAGGGTATAATAACACTCTTGAACAGCATATTTCATGTAATCGTCCCTTAAAATCCTGTCCCATAGCTCCTCTTGCGAAAGTCTGGGCTCTTTACCCTCAATAGCAGTATCTTTAGCAAGAAATATCTGTGCAAGAGGCAAAAGACATACATACCAGGAAGAGAAATAACAATATGTTCATACCTAACTAGCATACAAACAAAACAAGTATTATAATTTCTGATAGCAACCTTGCTTGCTAGAAGGAACAGAGGCCATTGAACCAAGGGAATATTGTCTATTATCCCTGAATTTTTAGGCATTAAAAGCAACTCCATTTCCCTGTATATTAAAGAAGATGAATGTGTGTCTAGTGAGCTTTAGTGAGCAGTCAATGAATAAGATCTGATAACAGAAAATGCCATGGCCACAAGTAAAACTCACAAACTATTAATGTAGTCTTCTTCCCTCAAATTCCTTATAATCTCATTCCAAAAAGGAGCAAACTTAGCAGCATCAACTTTGTTCCTCTNTAGTTCCTATCAATTGAACAGTATCATTTAATAATCAATTTAATCAAAATCAAATATAAGAAAGCAACTACTCCCACTGAATACAATGATATAGCGTCCTTGCTATTTTCACATGTCTAACAAAACAATTGTACATCATAATATCAAAATGTTTGTTTATTTATCCAAAACAGGTTGTCCGGGTTTAAATATGTTGGTAACAATAAGAAAATTAAAATAGATGTTGTTTCCTAGACATACCTGAAGAAGCAATTCATATTTAGAGTTAAATAAGAAAAGACTGAAGGCTCTATGAAGCACATTCTTAGAGTAGCAGCATACACCAGAAACAGGTACATATCATTGGTTTGATTTACATAAGCTGTTTTTCCATTGCATCGCCACAAAAAAGGGAAAAAAATTGCAGCAGTTACTAAGAGAACAAAATCAAATATCACATGAGAGAAGCTTAATTAACAAAAAAGTACTACCAAGTTCAACATTGCCGAAGGCCAAAATTTGGACCACGATGCTTAAAAGAGTCAGCAGAAGTGCATTCGCCTATTCCAAATCCCACAAAATGTAAATAAGTATTAAAGAATGAATATATGACATTAAGTCGCTTCAAGAATGAAGACCAACCATGGGAAATAGAGGTGGCTTAGTGGAATCTGAATCCCATGTGGCCTTAACCACCTATTTGTATATGTAACAAATAGTAACGATATGTTTTGAGTGCAGCAGCTAAAACCAACCTAACTTTTTTTGGGACATATCCAACAAGAAGAGGAAACCCAATAAAAACAAAATCATACTTTCAAAATAGGCCGAACATATACCACTAAATTATCACTTTGAGAAGACTTGCACCCTCGTGAAGTCATAGTCCCTTGATCTGATGTTGATCTTTAGCAAAAGGCAAGGCTGGTGATTTATTTCTACGTAAAACTTGTTCTTTCATTTTTATCCAATATAAAAATATGAGGAATTGCCATTGCTACAGACATTCTAGAAACACCATGCATCGCCAAGTTAAGAACGCCAAGCCCGGCACTGAAATAAAACAAAAAATACGCCAAGGAGAATTTGTAACTCAAAAACATATTAAAAACATGGTATGCCTTTACCTTCCTACTACTATCACAACTATCCTTTGGTTCGCAAAATCACTCAAAGGGCCTCCCTGGCCCTGACAAATCCTAAAAGACCAGCGAGAGCAACACACACAGAGAAGTACACAGCTCTAAAATTGGTACTAAAAAATTGGTACTAAAAATTGGTCGAATGTAATTTGTGTAATGAAATTGGAGGGGTTGCAGGATGCCTCGCGCCTGGGCCGGCCACGAGGGATTTATGGGAGGAGGGGTAGGCAGGACAGGAACAATCAATCAAGAGATCATATCAGCACAGGAACAATCAATAAACAGATCAGATCACGACGGAAGAATGAATAAAGAGATGAGATAGCTATAAGTGCTCTAAATCATTTACATAAGCTGTTTTTCCATTGCCTCGCCACCAAAAAAACTTGTAGTAGGTACTAAGAGGACAAAATCTTTGCAACTACTTTGACTTTCCACATGTTACTGGCTTTTCATATGTCAAACTAAAGACAGCAAAATGATTAACTGCCAGCCACACACTCCCTTCTTTAGAGCATAAAAGTGCAAAACCTTCACAGTTATAAGAAAGTGGCATATAAATCTGGTGAAGAAGGTTAAAGTGGCATATAGAAACATTTTTGAGACGGTAATTATAATGATATTCTGGCCACTGACTTGAACATCACTCTAATTGATGCGCCACTCAAGAAGGTTAAAGTGGAGGAGTGAATGCTTTAGACTTTCCCAAGAAGTGTGTCTGGATTTTTAGCACTAAACTATTTATTAGACCCCTCCTCCCCAGTTCCGTCCCTGAATAGTCAGATGATGAAAGGTCAACAATGAATTCCCCCACTTTGCCTTCTTTTGAGATGGCTCCTATGTAATTGTATAGCTAAAACTAATTTTTGAAAAACATATCTAATGAATTTCTAATAAAAATTGTGTGAAAAGTACAGTCAATTCATTCCTCTGTCTATAAAGAATGAAGTGCAACGTAGTTCCAATTAACTTGATTACCTCAAATATGGTTGCTATACTCGAGGTATCGTTGTCCAAAAGTCGTTCCTAGCTGCTCTCCATTAATGGTCGTCCGCTGTCCAGGGTCGTGATTCGCCAGTTCCAGGCATCCGTGGTGTCTCTAACCTTGTTCAATTTTGGGACCCAAACATCTGGAAAATATGACATTTTAGACCTAAAATTTGAAAATCTTAATCTACCTACAAAAGAAATTGTAAGAAAATGAAGAAAAGGCAAGGATGAACATTTGTGTTGAAAATGAATCTCTAGACCTTCGTTCCTAACCCTGCAACTGAAATGTGGATTAGATTGTAGAGGACGCCTACCCGATTTGCTGTTCTTTTAGATAGAAAATCAAGCTGATATTTTAATTGAAGTTGTGTTCATGCCAGGAGTGGCGAAACCCCAGCCATGGTTCCCGGCGAGCGGTGAGCAGAGATATTGCGAAGGAGGAGCGAAGACAAAGTCCCATGGATGAAAGCACAGATCGCCTAGGGCGAAACCGTGGCGGAGAATGAAAGGACAGAATAAAATGACTGTCGCCAGTGTCCCTCTGCTCCCATAGCGGAACGGTGGAAACCCTACGCGGAGGAGATATTTTTCTCAGGGTGAAGAAAATAAAATGACTAGCGTACAGAGGAAGTTCGTGCGAAGGAATTTCCCAAAATACCCTGCGGACACTAGCAAAAAATAGGCATTTTGGGAGATGTGTGTATTCTTTATTTATAATAGTTCCCTTATATAGGGAAAAGCATCCTAGGTTTTAGAAGAAAAGGCCAACGGGCCAGTACAACTGTATTACACAATATAAAGTAAATTCTATCTACACAACAGCACACTAATTTACAAATTCCTTCAACACTCCCCTTTGTGCTGGGTTGTAGGTAGAATTGCAGAATCTTGATCTCTTGTCAAAATTTCGTCAAGTATCAAAACCTTGTGAACAAAAAATCCTGAATGAAGAAAAGAGTATCAATCCTTACTTCGATCGCTATGTTCATGCATATTGTTACCTCATTAAAAACCTTATCAAGTAACAAAACCCAATGGGAAAAATAAACATTGGTTTAAGGAAAAGAGTGTAACATAAAATAAAAGCTAGACCTTTGAATATTCAAATCTCCCCCTGAAGTGTACATGATCAAGGAAGATCTGAAAGTCTACGCATCCCAATGTTTTTAACATGTTTCTCAAATGTGGCTTTAGGTAACGATTTGGTGAATAAATCTGCCACATTCTCCTCAGATCTTATTTGATTTACTTGGATCTTGAGGAGAGTTTGTTGTTGTTGATTATAGAAAAATTTGGGAGAAATATGTTTGGTGTTATCACCTTTGATAAGTCCAAGTTTCATTTGCTCGATGCAAGCAGCATTATCCTCGTAAATGCATGTGGGTTCTTTAGTGGTTGGTCTCAAACCACTAGCCTCGTAAATGTGTGTAATGATAGTTCTTAACCATATACACTCGTGAACCGCCTCATGTAGAGCTATTATCTCTGAGTGGTTTGATGAGGTGGCTACTAGAGTTTGCTTGGTTGACCTCCACGATATTGCAGTGTTACCAACTGTGAATACATAACTAGTTTGGGAACGACCCTTGTGTGGATCAGATAAATATCCTGCATCAGCATACCCAACTCGTACTTTCATGTATATCTCAGAATCAAGATCCCCATAGAGATATGCAGTAACCACATCCATAAGCTGCATTTCCAATTCTTCGGAAACTGCTAAGCTCACCAAGTACCTAAATGTTATAACGTCCATTACAGGGGAGTAGGTCTCCTCATAATCAATTCCAGGGCGTTGTGAGAAACCTTGCGCCACTAGGCGAGCCTTATATCTTAAGACTTCATTCTTCTCGTTACGTTTTCTAACAAATACCCATTTATGTCCTACAGGCTTTACACTTGGAGGGGCTAGCACTACCGGACCAAATACCTGTCTTTTTGCCAAGGAATCAAGCTCTACCTGGATTGCTTCTTTCCAGTTAGGCCAATCCGCTCTTTGTTAACATTCTACAATAGAGCGTGGTTTGATATCGTCATGCTCTATTATCTCTAGAGCAACACTGAAAGCAAATACATCATCGATGTGTGTTGAAGATCTTTCTAGTAATATATGTGCATTTTCATAATCCATTGAAATTTCTTTATTCTCTTGAATCATAAGTATCAAACATCGGAGCGTCCTCCAGTAATGATTCATGGACATAACTATAATCAGAGATAATCTCATGGGATGGATGTTCAACATCGATGTGTAACGGATTAGTTTGTGCCGCACTCGTCCTTTTCCTCCCTGGATGAGTGTCAATCGAACCAAGTGGCCTTCCTCTCTTCCTTTAAGGAGCCATGGCCTCACCCACACTTCCACTCGGTGTGGATGTAATGCCTGTCATTACAGCATTTTTCCTTTTAGTTGGGACTTCTAACCTTGTAGGTGCATTTGCAGCAGGTATGTGTGATCTTGTCACTTTAGCAATATAAGTAAATGGATCGGGCATCGAATTTGCCACGTTTTGAAGATCAATTATTCTTTTCACTTCGCTTTCACAATGTGAAGTACGGGGATCGAAATGAGACAGTGTGGGGACACACCAAGATATTTCCTGTCGTTCGCTTGGAGAGTTTTTCTTATCTCCCCCTAAAGACGGGAAATCTGTCTCATCAAAGTGACATTTTGAAAATCTAGCAGTAAAAAGATCACATGTCAAAGGTTCTATATAGCGAATAATGGTTGGGGATTCATATCCAACATAAATACTTAATCATCTTTGAGGACCCCTTTTAGTGCGCTGTGGGGGCGCAATCGGCACATACACTGCACAACCAAATATCCTTAAGTGTGAAATGTCAGGCTCATAACCAGTCACCAACTGGTATGCAAAGATTGGTTGTGAAGCAGTGGGTCTCAAGCGAATAAATAAAGTTGCATGCAATATGGCATGACCCCATGTAGATGTGGGCAAATTAGAACGTATAATCAATGCCCGAGCTACCATTTGTAGTCTTTTAATGGTTGCTTCTGCAAGGCCATTTTGCGTGTGTACATGGGGAATAGAATGCTCTACATCGATCCCAATGGCCATGCAATAATCATCAAAGTTCTTAAATGTAAACTCTGCAGCGTTGTCAAGTCTTATAGACTTGATCGGATGGTCAGGGTGGTGAGCCCTTAAACGAATTATTTGTGCCAAGAGTTTTGCAAATGCAGCATTGCTTGTTGATAATAATGTAACGTGCGACCAACGTGTCGAGGCATCAACCAGTACCATAAAATACCGAAATGGTCCGCTTTCTGGTTGTATCGGCCAACATATATCTCCTTGTATCCGTTGTAGGAATGATATATTTTCTTTTGAATCTTTAGCATAGGATGGTCGTGATCCTATTTTTGCTAATGAGTAGGCTTTACAAAAGGATTTGTGGGCATGTGACATTGTCAAAGAATTATTTTGAGACAAGGATGATGCTTCAATTTCTTTAGAAGGTATTTGTCAGAGTTGGGCAAGATTGGGCCGACCGCTTTCCAAGCTGTCGGGTTTTTGTGTCGCTTTGTCCTTGCCTCGACAGAAAGGATGACCGTGAGAGTTTTTTAGGATACGAATCACCATGCCACGACCAGGATGCCCTAGTCGGTCATGCCAAAGTCTATATCGTTCAGTATCCCTTATGTCATCATGACTTATAGAATAAGATTCAATTATTCGAATTGTAGTGATATACAGTCCACTACTCTTACCCTTAAACTTCTCTAAGATGAGCTTTCTTCCACATTCATTAGAAGTAATTTAAAGGTATTCAATACCATTCTCACAATGAGTTTCAACATGAAAAACGTTGTCACGGATGTCTTTGAAACTTAACAAGGTTCGAGTAGCTCTAGGTGCATATAGAGCATTTATGGTTTTAATCAATGTACCATTAGGGAGTAAGAAAATAGCAGTGCCACGTCCTTGAATTACATGTGACGAACCAATCATTGTTGTCACAGATGAATTATAGGCTACCAAGTTAACAAATAGTTGCATATTTCGCAAGATGGTATGGGTAGTCCCACTATCTATTAAGCACTCAAGTTCACCTCGATTCATGCCTGGACTTTTGGGATTTGAAATTGGGAAAAGGAGATCTAAAATTTGCCTAAGCTCGGTTCCTTTTCTCAATCTCGGTTAAATTTGATGAAAGGAACTCAACTAATCGTTGTAGAAATCCGGAGTCCCTGGTCCAGCGGCGTGAAACGAAGAAGAACAGATGCGGAAGAAACAGAGGAGAACAGTGATGGATTTTCTTTTCCTCTCCGTCGTCTGCGCCTCGTCCGTTGGTGCTGCGATCGCGTGCGCCTGGTGATTGGGAAGGAGGCTTCTCGTTCCGATTTGATTCTGCTATATATTGGGCATAGAGAAGAAGGTTTGTTCTTCGTCTTTACGATCGATGACTATAGGGTTCTCGGCGGAAAAGAATTATGTTTTTCAGAAGAGCAATGCTGATAACGTGTTGTGGGAGATGTGTGTATTCTTTATTGATAATAGCTTCCTTATATAGGGAAAAGCATCCTAGGGTTTTACAAGAGAAGGCCCACGGGCCAGTATAACTATATTACACAATATAAAATAAATTCTATCTACACAACAGGACACTAATTTACAAATTCCTTCAACAGTTCCAGCTTCTTTTTGCTTTGTACGGACTATGGAATATGAAATATATAGTAAGATTATCTCTTTAGTTTCATCTTAATTTTTTTCAAAATTCAAGTATTTTCGCGGGAATAGATAGAATTTAAGTACAAAAATGATACTCCCTCCGTCCCTAAATAGATTACAATTTTTTTTCTCTTCTCTCGATAAGTTTTGTTTGTTTACGCGATTTCATTAAGTATTTGATAAAATAAAATATTCTTGTCACCTCTTGTTTTGTAGAACTTTTGACGTAGTTTTTTAATATGTAATTTTTATTTTTATTGATAAACAACTTGTAAATAAAATGATTTCTAAAAGTAGAAAATTTTACTCCGTAACCCGCAATTTGTAATCAAATTAGGAACGGAGGGAGTATATCGCTCAAAGTTCGAGTACCATCAGTGAAATTTACCCGAATTTGTCTTCACACAAATATAGATGAATAAAAAGAAAACCACGCATCAAAAGAAAATTACACCATACTCCACTTTCACAGCAAATCACAACTTAGTTAAACGAGGAAGTCGATTGCGCAGCGTTGGAATAACATTAGCAGTAAATGCATACATAATTAGTTGATTCAAAATAAACAGTTGCTAATACAACAACAGCATCATCAATAAGCAAGAAAAGAGCCTCTTTTAAGATGGCTTCATACATCACACTACTTGTGAAGCAACAGCCCAGAATGATACAGGAATTTTGTTCAGTTTAGGATAGAAAAAACAAACATGAATGAAGAAACGGGTGCTGTTCTATAGCTGTAGACGCCGGGTGGCTGACGAAGAGATACTGAAGGAACTGACTTTGAGGGGCGTGGCCACCACAAGTGGTGCTTCAGGGGAGTCACTGACAGCAAACTTGTCATGCATGAAGCAACTGTCTATGATTGATTCGTCTCTTAGAACAATTTTGTAACAATAACAACTCTTCAAGCCCACCTGGTTTTGGTAGCATTCGTGAGACCCGTCCTTCACCTGTTGAAAATTCCATATCACACTGAACTT